ATTTTAGTACTTTTATATATTATTTCCATATGTATACGAATAAGCGCTTCATTTGATTGAATTCTAGGAGCATAAATCGCCACTTATATAATTTTCATATCTGTCGTTCAAAAATCGCGCTGTTTAGAGATACAAATTAATTCTTCATATTTTGTCGAATGACTTCAACTGAGCCACATATCGATCATTGTGGTATGAACTATATACATGAATGATAAAAAATTGTATGTACAATTTCATTTAGCAATTGATGGTATTAAATTGGATTAGTTATGCGATAAATATTTAAAATTATATTTAAACTGATTTTATGCTGATAATCTGAAAGGAAACTTTTCGGCAAAAACTGACCATTTAAGAGGAATGTGTTTTGTGAATCGTTTTTGTGGCCTGGGAAAGTCTTTAATTATGGTCACAAATTTTCAGAAACGGTGATAAATAAAATATTTAATGCAATGTGAGTTGAAAGCAAAGTTGAGGCGGCTTATAAATTAATTCCCAACGCAACAAAGGAAGCCGATTGAAATAAAATGAATCCAAAGCAGACTCAAACCAATGGACGCAGCATTGGGCTGGAGTGGCAAATCCCAGTGAATGGTAATGCAAAAGTGCTGCCAAAAACTTTGCTGGCCGAAAATTACAAAAAAGGCAAAGGCCACGCCAGCACGAAACAACAACAATAGAATGAAGACACATTAACAAAATAAAAAAGAAGAAAAGAAAAAATAAATATACAAAAATGGAAAGAAAAGTAAAGGACACTTTTAGAGAGGCAGGTTCGGGTTCGAGTCCGAGTCCGAACAGCTGGCAATTGAAACTTGCACAATTTTTGCCAACTTTTGTGTCGCTCCGATGAGCTTAGACCCGGCAATGCTGACAACAACAGCAACAGCGATGAGGGTCACAAGTGGAAGTCAACTCCATGCGATATGGAATGAAATTAGTGAGGCAGCCAGCGTCAGAGCCAAAGCTGAATCTGAAGCAGGAGCGGGAGCTGGAACTGGAGCTGGAGTCAGTGAGTGAGCCGCAGCCGGAGGGCAAGGACATGCATGATAAAGGCCATGACAGTAAAAGTGGCAGAGGTATAAAAACTTGACCGATAAGATAAGCGCACATAACAGAATTGTGGCTGGCACCTTGGCTATGGCACTAGCACGGAACGGGTACTGGCAGAGAAAGAGGAGAGCCAGGATATGGTCAAACAGCTGGCAGAAATCTGTCGAGTACGGATACTTCCGGGTCGACCAGGAAACAATTTGTTACAGAGCCGGTGACCCCAGCGACTTGCAACTTGAAGCATTTAACTTTTGCGGAGATGCTAAAACTTTCAACTTATAAGAAACTTTGCTGGCGCTGGCAGCTCTGCCAACCCAGCTATCAGCCACTTGTCGCCCCCTGGCATATTCAAATGAGTATCCTGCGGTGCCTGGCGGCTGTGTGTGTGTATGTACGAGCAAGTGGCTCCACCTCATCCTTAGCTCCATTCTGTGATTTATTTATTCGCACACAGCACACATATACGAATTGTGGCCCTGGCAGCGCTGTCCCCGAAACGCTCAAATAAAATTATAATAAATTTATGCTTCAGCCCAACGCCATAAATTTTCTGAATTTTTGATTTGATTTTGGCATTTGTGTTCAATAATGCCAAAAACAGAAATACCATCGAATTCCCATCCTCCAGCCCTGACCCAATTCAAGTCCAATTCGAAGTGCGTCCTGTTCTCGTTTTCATCAAATTGGTCAGTTTGTGGTCTTCCTTACCACTTGTGTAAATTATGCATTGCTTGAATTTAAATGAATAATATTTAAGCAACAATCTGCTTTGGGCTAAAGAGCTTTAACCGCGTTAACAAGGCTTTAAGGAGGTGTCAAAAAATGTGTTAAGCTGAGTGTCAAAGACTGTTAAGTTCATTCAACAGTTAAGACTCTGATTTTAATTTAACTTTGTATTGAATGTGAAATGTTGTGTTATATCCACTTTAACTCTCGTTAATGTTGTCAGAGGTATGTTACATGATTTGACATAACACTGTTATCGGACAGAATGTAAAAATGTTATCAGTGTCTAACTAGAGCAGTTGCTAACATTTTGGTTAGTTTATTTGATGATTGAAGTGGGATTCATCATTATAAAAAAGGATTTAGTTGAGTACAAGTTTAACCGACTTAATTGTAAAGAGCTGGCATTAAATAAGCAGAAGAGTTCAGTCTCATATATAAATAATTATATACAATTTGTTTATATTCTTATCTATTAATCCTGTAAACATATTATGTCATGAGTTCAAATTATATCAGTTTAATCTTGATGAACCGATAATTTAAATTGTATGTTAGGTAACATGTTAGTTCAGCTGTGGCTTTCATCATCTTTAACTGTGATTCATGCGGTTAAATGGAAGCCAGCCAAAAGAGTTACGGACTTTTTCAACTGTGCGACTTATTTCTGGCAAATGAAACTGTAACTGCAGTTGAAGCAGTTGCAGCAGCAGCAGCTGCTGCAGAAGCAGTAATATCTGTGACTGAAAACTGCATTTGTGCATGACCGAGTTACGCGTTGTGACTGGCCAAAAGAGCAATTGGGTCGCCGTATAAATTTGTGCGCAAATTCTATGGCAACTTTTGAGCTTTTCAATTGCATTGGGCATGATTAAATTCTGATGCGTGTCCTCTCGCATCCTGCTTGTTGTGGGGCTCTAGCCAAAAGCACAATGAGTCAGTTGCAGTGCGAGTAAGTGGCCAAAACGAACACGTTGCCCCCGCAACACCCGCGGATGCGAGCCGTGCAACCACTTCGCTAATGCCACTCGCCCGCACTTGCATTTGTTGTGGTCTGCTCATGTGTATGTGGCTCGACAAAGAACCGGTTGGGTGGATGGGGATTGGTTCGAGTGTGTGCACGGGCGTTTTGGATAGGAGGAGTGCAGTCTCCGCTGTTCCGGTCCTACGTGTTCCATATTTCATTCTAATTTATTCAGTTGTGCATACATATTTTTGTTACGGGTTGCCTCGGCGCATCCATGCATTTCCTTCTGGCTGGCTCGGTTCGTTTGGTTCAAACTATCGCTTGACTGCAGCAACATCAGCAGCAGCCGCAGCAGGTGCCCTCGGCACCACCGCCACCACCAGCCCAGTCCGCATCTCGCTTTCGGAACTGCCGCTTGGCTCTGCTCAGTGGCTTGCATATGATTTACTCTTTAAAGTTTACCTCACCCCGCCTCAACAGCCCGTAATTGTGGCTCAATTACATGGAAAAGTTGCCAAATTGAATTTTTAAATTTCCACATGTCTGAGAGAGAGTCTTGAAAATAATTTATGAGCATGCAGAAAAGCCCAAACCCAAGCCCAGGACTTGGACCAGCTGTAGCATCGTCCTGCAACATTTCAGCTGCTCCGGCCAAAAGCATCAGCCTGTTTGTTAACAGCAGGTTGGCCTCTCGCTTTAAGCAACCGCAGAATGTGTGTGTGTGTGTGTGCGTGTGTATATATTTTATTCACTTGTGCGGCAAATTCATTTCTTTGCGGCACAAACAGCACAAGTTCATACAATATTCCATATTCCGACTTTTAAAGCTTTTTTTAGAAATTAAATTGAAAGGGCAGCAGAATAAGTTGAAAACAAGCTGAGCAAACTCAATTCAAATTCTTTTTAAATGAAATATTGATTTTTAAGGCAGATTCAATCACAAAAAGTTTAGTCACAGAAATATGTGAATTGCTACGTTTCTAGAATTTGGAGTGAAGGTCTAAATAGGAAGAGGTCTAAATTATAATTTACAATTTCATTCATAGGATGTTGAAAGACCTATCAGAGTTCATTTTACAAATATTTGTTGTTATTCTCTGAGCGACAATATAGCAAATTTTGTTTGCTAATTTTCAAATTTTAGAATATGATGTATATATGCATCTTATGAAATCTATTCTCGCTATTTAAGAGAAAACACTGCTATTAATTTTAGACTTATTTGTACAGCTGCAAGCATTTTGTAAATAATATGAGTTCATATTCAAATTGACTTTTTCTTGGCAGATGGAATAAAAATGTTTGGAGTCCTACAGGATTTTCATCTTTTGATGTTTGCATATTTATCAAGAGTTAAGTACGTAAATAAAATAAAAGGGAATTAAACAATTTAATATAGAGTTTTGTTCAGGCCAAATCAAGCTGAAACTATTATAATAATGCGAAAAACAAATTGGCATAAATTTGTGTAACATATTTCGCACTAAAATGTTACACGCATTCCACTTTTGACTTTATACCCATATGGCTAGAATGGGTATATTTTATATGTTTTACAGCACTCGCGATTACGACAGCTGCATTCGAAAAGTTGTGCCATATCAGATGGCGAGGAATTTGTTATTTAAATGAAATTAGTTGGATTGCGGAGCACTGAAATTGGTTCGTCACGTATTCACTTGGCTACATCCGCAAGAGAAGTGGCCGTGGCAGTCGCAGATGCAGCTGCAACTGCAACTGCAGCTAAAGTTTTTACAATCCACATACGGAATTCATATCTCCGCCCGCTCCCAAGCGGTGCCACCCCCTCGTTCCTACTAGTTATAAGCGCATAGTTTTGACTCTGGCTATGGCCTTGTGCAATAATATTTACATTGCCGCAGCATTATTCGGGATTGTAGCTTTTGGGCAACTGTGTCACGTGCCTCTTGAAGCAAAAGAAAGCGAACTGAAAGAGGGGGAGTTACATATGTGTAGTGGAGGGGGCTGGTACTTACATTGTGCTCGTCCGCACCAAAATCGGTTGACCGAAAAATGCCGGAACATTCTCGTCCATTAGCGAATGTGTTTTGATGAAATTTAATGTGGGATCCGGCAGCGTTCGTGAATCATTGTGACAGGCGCCGGGGCGCGGCTCGGGCACCTACAAAAGACGACGACAAAGATATATATACATATATATATATATATATATATATATATATATATATATAAATTATTAGTATCCCGCATATGACTGCAATGTGGTTATGGTTATGGTTATGCTCGGTCAGTTGCCTTCCTCTCTTTGCTTGCCACAAAAAGGAACGTATAAATTGCATTTGCGGCGCTCGCGTTGCTCGTAACAAATACCCGTACACAACGTTCCGGAAATTGCGCAGCACGGCCAAGTGCAGACGGACAAAGACCCGCCGGAAAGTGTCCTTTGTGCGCGCATGTGTGTGTATGTGTGTGTTACTGAGTTTTCTGTTTTGGCAATGATTTGGTTTATGAATCGCCAGCAGAAAATGCACACTCAGACGTTGACTTGGCTGATTCGTGTGTGTTGTGTGGAAATTATTAAGTCAGAATTCAGGCGAGCATCTCTTTTATAAGGATATAAACTTTGTTGGTCTGAGAGCACGCGCTTTGCCTTGTGCAATGCAATATTTGACTCCACTCAGCAGATTCTCACAGCTACAGCTATACTCAAATTCAAATTAAATAGTATGCATTTTATTACATTTATTAAAGTAAAATACCCTCAAAATGTTTTGAGCTTTAATAAATATGCTCAATTGCACATGAACAGCAATTATAGATCAAACAACTTTTCTAAGTCTGGGAAAATATCTATGTGTCTCTGATATCGATAATAACTAACTAAACGAACTAAAATCTGAAGGATTTGTAGTGATAGGCAATCGGGTATTGGAATTCATTGAGTATGTTCCTTTGAAATTGAATTGAATTGAAAATCGTATTTAAAGTAAATAGATTATTTTTGTGTCAGTCCCCAAATTCCTACAGTTTTTTAGGATTATCTCAAAATATTGTAATCTATCAGCTAATCTTGCATTTAATTGCATATCCCACATACTTTACTAAGTGGAAATTCTTTTGCAATTTATAAGAAAAAGACCTGACTAAGCGAATATTAAAGTTTGTTCTGAGTTTTTGCAAAGTGTTTGCATTCCGTTTTCTTATTCTATTAATTTGCACACACACGCAAAAGTTATGTTTAAATTCCATGCAAATTTGAAGCTTTCTGGCAGGTCGAAAGGCGGCAACAGCGTGTGCCAAATGCACTTTAAGTGTTATATTAAAAGTTTTATGCATTTCAAAGTATGGCAATTGTTTCGAATTTCAAAGATCTTCAATTTCTAATTTGGCTTTCCTTGAACCGCAAATTGTGCACTCTCTAGACAGAGACCTTCCTTTTGGCCAAGCCGTTAGCAGTATGTGCAGTCATCTGGTTCGCTTTCGGGGAAATCCATTCGTAATTCAAATGCAAATTTTTGGCAAAGGAAAAGTACTTTCTTTCGCCAAGGCTGGACAAATTTTTGTGGCAATAAATTCTGAAACAGCTGCGTTCAACTGCTCTTCCGTTCCCACCGTGAAAGTGAGCATTAACCAAACCACACACACACAAAAATATATATATATATATATCATATATTGGCATCTGAAATAGTGAAACGCACCTTGGCATTATTCACTGGCAGCCAGTTGGAGTTGATGCCGCTCTGCTCCTTGAACTGTCCCTCGAATGTGTCGGCGATGTCCTGCGGATTACAAAATTGAGATGCGAGAGAAAAAGAGAGAGAAAAGGAGAAATACACAAGTTAAAAGCTGGCCATGGGAAAGGTAAATCGTAATTGTGCACTCACCTGCAAGGCGAAAGCACAAACCGCTGAGCCGGGAATTGAATTTGTTGGCGTATTAAAAACGCCATAAATCAATTTGGAGCTCATGGAGCCGTACTGTCCCTCGACGAGATTGCTGGCCGATTCTGTGGGCAACAGATATATACACAATATTATGTGAATCAAATTCAAAGCTAGCCCGGCCACTTACGTATCTCATTAAAGTAGAACGGATAGTCGCCCGGTATGGAGCAATTCAGGCGGGACTTAAGGAACGAGGTCCAGCGGTTGCGGAAACGATGCGGGCCGCCCTTATCCCATTTGCAGACGCGTGCGACGCGCGAATAAATCGCCTGAAATTGCCGAAAAGATAAATATTAATACATGCTGGACGAGCTGGAGAATGGATATGCAGTAAATCGGCACATTGATGTGGTCGCATTCTAATAGAAAACCAACAAACGTTGCCCATAAACAAATAGCCGGCAAAATCCAAAACCGATAACTGTATTTGGCCGTTGGACCAAAGCCAAAACCCAAGCACGAGCCCGAGCCCGAGCCCGAGCCGGAAGTGTGTACGCATAAAGCAAACACAAGCAAAATGGCCGCCCAACATGGCGGCGATAGAGTCACTTCCGCTCTTGTGCTCGCACCTCCTGCCTCGTTCAATCCGTCCAATTATATCCACATTTGTTGTGGATAGAAATTAATTTTGGGTTTTGCCAGCATATTCAAATTTTATATATTCTCATTCGATTCGTTGCACTCACCTTGCCACAGTTGATGAATTCCACAGCCGTCTCTCGAAAAAAGAAATACACGAAATCTCCCTGAGTAAATGAGCTCACAAAATTTGGCGCTGTGAATGAGAGAAAGGACACAAAACAAAAGTCAGAACGAACAAATGAGCTTCAAGAAAGTTTAGTCATAAATTGCATTTATAGTTTCGGCTGTAAACATTTTATAGTAAAAATCATCATGGGATTTATGTGCGACTCGTGCCGATGGCAGAACAATCGAATGGCAGCTCTTCGTTTGCTCTCCATAAGAAATGCCAGTTTTTGGAAATTAAATTGATGAGTAGAACATGATGCATAAAGTTAAATGTGTGCTGTAATTTAACATGATTTGGCATGGATTTGCAAAAATAATGAAATATGATAAAATCATAAAATTTAACATTATGCACAAGGAAATTGAAGCATGAACTAATTTTAAAAGTGATGCCTAAATGCAAATATCATATTTCATACTTGAGAAGAAAATTATCTGCTAATAGACATTAAATTTTATTTTAACTTTTATAGAATGAATCTTAAGTAAAAGAAAATATAATATGATCGAACTTTTAAAGCCTTCGATGTTAATTTAAATAATTTTTAACTAAATTTTATTGTTGCAGTTTCCGGAATATATTTGAAATGCGCATGGTTAACACCTTTTAAGAGGCTCCAGATATTTTTCCCTGAGCTGTTAGGCATATGCATCATGACTTTGAGAAGCTTTTTGTTCGGTTTACTGGCAATGCAAAGCTGTATCAAATATTCAGTACGTGCATAACGCAAAGGGACGAGAGGACGTCTGAAAATAGTAAAGGACAGCCAACAGGCGGGCAGTCAAAGCTGTCACGTCTATTCGGTTAATGGAAGTCTGTCATATGAAAATCGAAGCGGCGAGCGCTTGAAATATGCAAAAGGCAAACGCACGCAATATGACGTCGCTGTCCTTGTTGCAGGACACTGAAATACATCGAACAGCAGCGAGAAACTCACAGCGACTCAATGTGAGTCACAGAAGCACAATCAGACTTAATTCAATTCAAGTGGCCAGCATTTCGCTAATACTGAGCTCACAGAGGCACAATAATAATCATAACAGAGCGGACATTTTCAATTACCAGGAGTGCTTGTTTGGAAAGCTGTTAAAGATGGGAATGGCAGCCGGTGGGGCTGCCGTTGGAGAGTCGGATGGGGATGATGTAAACAACTTACCATTGAGACTGAGGCTATCATATTGTTCCGTCTGCAGAGGCTCACGATAGATAATCGGATCACTGCCGCTGAAATCGGCCACAGTGCCAGAATATAATTCGTTGTCTGTAAAAAGAAGAAAGAACAACACAACGTTTGATTATTTAGTTAAGTACTTCAAATATTTATAAAGACTGAGAAGCACACAGCGCAACAGCTTATTAAAGAGCACTTTTGTCGCACGAAAAAATTAAAAATAAGCTCAAATTTAAGTGTTGGGTCTCGAGCGCGAGGAAATGGTGAAACCACAAAATAACTTTAATAATAAATTAATAAACTAAGTTCAGATTTATATAAAGACCATAGAAAATAACATATACGAAAAATAATATAGAGAAATGCTGAAAAGTAAACATTTCTCTTAATAAACTGCCTTCAATTTTGTTTGTTTTGGTTAATTAAAAGCTCGATAATAAAAATTAATGCCTTTATCGAACCATTTCTTTTAAAAGCAATCATTATTTACATTTATTTGTTTTTCATCAGGTGATTGAAAATATGATCAAAAAATGCTTTTAACAATAAAATATCTAATCGTTGCCACAAAATGCTTTTAACAGCAAATAAATCGCTGCTCAAATTCGTTATGCATAATCCAAGTATCGTTTTTATCTGCCTGTAAACATTTTTGCCGAGTTTTATAAGAAAAATGAGCTCGAAAATGGCACTAATAAATGTCAATTACGCATCGCATTTTATTAAGTGTAAATGATATTTTTGATGTGCAAATTTCAGCTCACATTTGCAGTGCAATAAACTTTTATTTTGTCGTGTCGAGCCGCGAAACACGGTTCACAGCAAACTTTCAGCCTGGGCCAATTTGCGTTACTAAAATATGCAAAAGACTCGAGACACAGCCACACACAGGTAGACACAAATTACTTATTACTAAGCAATTTGCCCAAAACGCAAAGCCAAGGGCTAAAAAAAGAAAAAAAAAAACAATAAAATTTTAATCAATTGTAGCTTTTTTGCGGCAGTTTACTGTCATTACACATACGCAGCGTGTACACGGCGGCCAAAATGAAAATGCGAATTTGCGAGAAAATTTAATTAACTTAAACGAGAAACACACAGCAACAGAAGCAGCAGCAAAACTTTTGACATGTCTTCGGCGACATTGAATTGCCCTGCGGCTTGAGGGAGCAGTGAAATGTTTTCCGCACCCTCTGAATGCCCGCTCTTCTCCATCAGCGCAAGATAAATGAGTTTTTTCTGCCTCAACTTTTTACTTGCGGAATTGCCTGCCTGCCTGCTGCCTGCTGGCTTTGGCATTGTCAAACTTCAATTCCACAAGCTAAAGAAATATGGAAAAACAGGCAACAAAAATAATACAAAAAAAAAAAAAAGAGGAAGAGGAGAGTAGCAATAGCAACAGCAGCAGTAACAAAATTAACAACAACAGCAACAACGACAAGTAGGATCGCGCAACCGGAAATGCCCAGCAAGCTGGGAACGTTGCCCGTTTATTGTCTGGCCGGAAATGGTTTTGCCCTCGGCCCGAAACAGCAGCCGCACCCTGCGAACAGTCAGTGTCCGATGAAGCTCATTGCCAGCCGGCGGCTCAATGACAGAATCGATTGCTGTGTTGGCTTTGTGCGCCGCGCCTGCAGGCGTTTTGGCCAAAAGTTCGAGACCAACAGCCGACGAGCAAGCAGCCAAAACGCGCCGCATTATCCTTGCATCAACATACAGGCAAAGGGAAAACTGTGCGGAATGGGAACGAGAACCAGGCACAGACTTGAATGGACGTTGAAACAAATCTTGCAGCAGTCTGTTCAAATTTTTGCATAATGCTCCGGCCTGAGAGGGTCTGTCAAAGCAGCCGGTAGACATTTTCCGTTATTGCTAACAAGCAAAAGTAATTTCAGCAAGCACTCGCTTTAAAATATTCTGTAATTACCCACAGACAAACACACAGCAACAGCCAAAAGAAAAATAATGAAACTTTGACAATAAATTATCTTTTTAATTTATCAACTGTGAAACAAACAAATGCAACTTGAGGAAATAAAAACAAATGGTTCTTATTTAAATTTGAAATTCTAGAGGTAGAATCATTAGAAGCAAACAGAAGTTTGCTGTTTGTGGCTGTGGCGATCAACATCCTCGATAGTATAGTGGTTAGTATCCCCGCCTGTCACGCGGGAGACCGGGGTTCAATTCCCCGTCGGGGAGAGATGTTAGGAACTTATTATTTTAATATAATTTTTTTAATTGTATTCTAAATATTTATTTTAAAAATATTCAGTTTACTAGCTCGTTCTAAATATTTTTGTTTGAAAAATTCTGGTATTGCCTTACAAAAATTGAATGATTTTATTATGACTCGCGCTGCCGTATATTATATAAATAAATTAGTAAGATAATCAAGTAGGACCCCAAAGAGAAAATAAATTATGCAAATGTATTTATACAAAATAAATATAAATATGAAATTTTAACAGAATTATAAAAATGTAAAATAAAAAAAATTAAGCTGCAACTAATGCAGCCTCTCCCCGACGGGGAATTGAACCCCGGTCTCCCGCGTGACAGGCGGGGATACTAACCACTATACTATCGAGGACGTTGTGAGCAGTTTGCCCAATATGAAACATATTGACAAAAGTCTGCTTAGATCAATGATAGGCAATTATTCTAATCAGATAAGAGCCTATAAATAACCTCAAATAATAAGCTGTACCCAACTGAATTATATAAATAATCTAATCTTATCTAATCGTAGTTTTTGGCAAAATAAGTACACAGAAAATTATATTTGTAGTCCAACTATTAATATTTAAACACGAATATTAATTTTTCACCTGGGTAAAGGCTGCAAATCTGATGGTATTTATGTTTGCTGGCTATTATCGCATAATCGAACAATTTTCCATAAGCCTGAACTCATCAAATATCGCTAAGAGCCCCGCAAATGGACAACATATTGTGTCAGGGACTAAGGGCAGGATTTGGACACATAAATGCCGCAAACCGTCCAACAATTTATGCAAAACTGTGAAAATTGCATAATTATGAAAAAAATAGCTTACATGAATTTGATGCGTGCATTATAATTTCATGTTAATTCGCGTACACGCGCAACCTGCGGGGCGAGGTAAGGAAGGTGGTTTGTGGATCGCAGATTGGAGGGTGTGAAATCAGTGCGGTAAATCGATAAAATTTACAATGGCCCAGCGGCTCACGCACGCACACAGACACGTGTACACGCTATGAGTGGGGCTGGTGCTGCTGCTGGGGAGCTCTCAAAAGTGAATATAAAATTTGAATTACGTGACAAGAACGCGCTGAATGAAAATGTCCAAAGTAAACTAAAAACGCAACACAAATCCAAATGCGAGTCGACAGCAACAGCATCAACAGTAACAACGACAGCAGCAGCAGGCACATTAAAAATGTCGTCTGGTACAAATTAATTTTGCCCTCTCGCCAGCCGCCCCCTGGGCGCCCATAACATGCCCGGAACCGCCCCTTAACGGGCGACTGTTTAAATTAAGAGGCTGTAAAAGTCTTGCGGTGAGTGAAAAGTAAAAGCGCTCGTTCGCTTCTCTATAGAATCTGCTGGCAGCGAATTTCCCATTCGTGGTGGTGATAAATAACGAATGCTAATTTTCTATCATGAACGCGGGTGGAGAATGCAGAGCCTGCGGGCGCCAGCATGGGCCAGGTGAAGCTAACGGCCAATAAAAACATTTGCTAAATATGCGCACGGGGGAAATGGACTGCGGGGGGTGTGATTGTGGGCGTGACGGTAACCGCTTTAAGCCATGCTTAGAGCTTAAAGTTTTGTCATTAAACTTTTTTGAAAATTGCTAGAAAATGCAAATTTCCCAAATTGATATATGAAACGAGACATAACAACGGGACCGAAGCACGCAATTCTCATGGGTGAGTTGCCAGAAATTATGTCAATGAATGAATTTTAAGATTTTCATCATTTTCGAGATGAGTTACACAAACTTGGGCAGCCAGAATATATGACATGAGACGTAATACAATTATTCGAACTTAAAGAACTTCGTTTAAAATGTATTTAGTTATAAATAATAGTTTCTTGTTTATGCTAACTATTATTCATTAGCTGACACAATTTTTATCACTACAACTATCCTAATATATGTACCTCATTATTTTCTGTATAAGTAGAGATATAATATGCTAGACATACATCCGATTCGGAGGGTTCGCATACCTTACAATCTAAAAGCAAACCCTGCCATGGCCCAAAAAAGAACGGGATAGACCAAGCCAGGCTGCAGGCCAACAGGACGTTGAGGTCAAAGAGCTATGCAAAATTTATGAATCGCTGGTAATTAACAATGGAAATGCAATTTACATCGCGGCCAGAGTTGCCATTGTTGCTGTTGTTGGTCGCCATTGCCAGCTAACGAGGCGCACAATAAACACGGCCCCGATGCCCCCGCCCCCTACCCCTCATTCAACTAACGGCAGCCGCTTGTCACAACATCGACGGAACACGAAAAGTTGTATTGCTCACTCTTTCTGCTCTTTCTGTCTCGCTCTGCTGCACTGTATATTTCGTTTGTTCTCGTCGGGGCTCAGCTTGCATCTAATTGGTTTTCCCTTTTGTTTTTTTTTTTTTGCCTATACCCTGTAATTTTTCTATTAAAAGTTTTTGTTCTAGTTTTGCAAAAAGGGGTATACTAGATTGTATATTATAAGAGCTACCAGCAAAGTTTACCAGTCTGGCCGATATGGGGATCGAAGACGTTGAATATTGCATTTATATACCATCTGTCGCTTTTCAGAAAGTCTTTAAAACTGAATTACAGACGCAATAGTCTCCTTGTTACAGAAAACTATACTTATCCTATTTTATATATACATACACACT